CTGCCACCCATGTTGCTTACACCGCAGGCGTCTCTTGAGTGGTGGGGGGGTGGCTGGGACGCAGGCCCCGCAGCTTGCTGGGGTTGTCCGTCGCGGCACCTCGATGCGAGGTTTGTAAACGTGGATAGGGAAGAGGGAGCGAATCGGTGCAACGGTTCCGAGGACAGGATGGCTCTGGCGGCTCTGCCTGCCCTGGACCGTTGCTGTGACAGCCTGGAGCCGTGTGCGTTACTCCATGGCTAGCTGTGATGGCTCAAACCCGCCCCGCAACGACAGCACATAAAGTTGGACTTGGCAGTACCATGGTGTTAGACCAAAGTAGCCACGGGCTTTGTGCCCGGCACAGATAGGCAGGCAGGAGAGGCTGTACTCCGTACTCTGCTCCAGCGCTCAGCCAATAAAACAGGGAATTTACTCCCCATTTACAGACTCTGAAGGTGATGCCTTCGGGCCAAGGAAGCAATTCTGTGCTGCGTTTTGCATGCTTTTTACTAAAAATGTTTTTTCCTATCAGCTAAAAAAAAAAAGGGCTTTTTACGTCCCTCTTTGGGCTCAGCTCCCGTCCCTGCTGGTGGCAACTTTTTGCTTTCAGTTGAAATGTATCTCACTGCAGCTGTGCTTCAATACCAATGTGATCTGTGCGCGGGATTAGGGTCACACACATACAGTCTGAACGGAGCCTGGCTAGGTGCCCGATTCCCATTAGTTGTCATTCTAAGGGAATTTGGATCTCGAAACTACTCAAACCTGCGTTAATGTAACCACCGGTTGAACACTGGACCGTTTTTCCACTGGGTAATCTGCTTTTTGCAGAGTTTTTTGTTTGCGGTGTCCTTTTTGCTGTTCAGGGGACAGCCTAATGTGATGCTTTCTGCAATAAGTCATCTCCGTGTATGAGACCCCTGAGCTCTGCACGGCTGTGAGGGTAGAGAACTCGGCTGTGAAGCTCTCTGCTCTCTTTTTTTTTTTTTTTTTTTTTAAAAACACAGGAGAGAAGGTAATTGTGAAAGAAGCCAGTGGGAAGGTGTTCCTGCAATGTGTAACAGGCAGCCAAAGTCAAGTCATATGGCTGAAAGATGGGAACAGGATAGGAGACACAACACAGCTGGACTTGGGTGCAGTTTACAATGATCCCAGAGGCATCTATACATGTGAAACGGAAAGCGACAAGAAAAGCAGCTCTCTCCAGGTGCACTATCGAAGTAAGTGTTGCAAAGCTGCTTTCTAGAGCCAGAACTGCTTGGAGTTTTCAACCTAGGCAAATTTTTGAGGGCGCTACTGATTTCCCAGATTTGAGGGTGGTTCCACCAGTTTGTTGAAATCCCGAGGGCTCCCGTGCTGTGTCGCCCTCGGGAACAGCCAAGCTGCGCGTTCCCCAGGAGAGCTCTACAGCCTCACTTAGTGCTGTAACCTGGCACTCATACTGCCTCATTGCTAGCCACTCGCTGGCCCTGCTGTGGCTGAGCGCTTTGGGCTCAGACTGACCCTGGCAGCAGGGCAGAGGCGGCCAAGGGGCAGGGGCCTGGTCATGGCCTTGCTTTCATTGTCTGTGTCCTTTTGGGCTTCCAGTGTGCCAGAACTGCATCGAAGTGGACGCTCCCACCATCTCGGGGATCGTGATCGCAGATGTCATTGCCACCGTCTTCCTGGCGGTCGCTGTGTATTGCATCACTGGCCATGACAAGGGACGCATGTCGCGAGGTGAGGGGAGAGCCCCGCTGGCTGCCCGCGGGTGAGGAAGGGAGGTGCCTGGGCGTCTCTAGGAGCTGCGTGGTACCTAGGGGCTTTCCGTCACTGCCCACAGAGCCCACTCGCTGCAGGCAGCAGCCAGCACACAGCGTGACTAGGGTAGGGATCCGTGCGTGCGCTCCGTGCACCCTTCCTGCCCCTAGCTCGGCTTCCTAGGAGAAGCCACTGACTGCACAAAGTTCACCAAAACATCATCCCAGGGACAGCAGCTGGTGGCACAGCGACATCTGAGGTCTTGCAGGGGCTTTCCACCCAGCCTCCCAGAGGAAGTAACAGCACGGGGCTGAAAGAGGCCGGCCGCTTGGGTCTGTTTGCAAATGTTCATTGCGCTACCAGACTCCCCTGATCCTTGACCTCTTTCTTTCTTCATTTAGCTTCTGACAGGCAGAACCTGATCGCCAACGAGCAGCTCTACCAGGTGAGCATGGGCGTGCAGGCACGCGTGTGTGTGTGCAGGGGCTTCACCTCTGTGTGGCGGGGCTGGCACGGCCATGACAGCGAAGCCACTGGGAGATACTTGATGCCTCAAGGCACTCAGCCGCGCTGGAGATTTGCTCTCTGCTGGGGCGTTCGCAGCTGCGTCCCCCTGAGTGATCCAGAAGATGGGGCAAGCTCAGCTGCCTCCTGCCTCTTACTCTCTGGGATTGTTAAGTTCAGGGAGGGGCGGGTAAAGCTTGCCAAAAGCTTGGCAAAGAAGGCTGGGCCAGCTTCCCCTGTGCCCTCCCTCCCGGGGCTGGACAGACGCGGTTGTAGCTTGTCTTGTCTTTATTTCCTCCTAGCCCCTTGGCGAGCGGGACGATGGACAGTACAGCCGGCTGGCACCTGCCAAGGCCCGCAAGTGAAGTGGGAAGGAAGATGCTGGGGCCTGTGGCTCCTTCACACTGGGAGTGATATTGCAACAAAGCCACCGCCAGTGCCTTTGGGAGCTCAGTGCTGGCAGAGAAAGTGGGGGTTTTTTTCACCGAGAGCGCCCTCCGGCTCCTTGCCAGAATGGGCTGCTTGTAGCACTCTGCTTTTTCCATGACCTCTTGCACTTCTGTTTCCCTCTCATTAAAGATCAGCCTATCTCATAGCCTCCCTGCTCTGTCGGTTGTCTTGAGGCCTGGGGAGCTCTGCGGTCGCTGGGGAAGGTGTGATGCCATCTGCCTGGATCCCTGAAGAACCGTAAGGCTCCTGTCTATCCCAGTAGGACACTGCTCTGCCAGTGCAGGCAGGTACCCGTGGCTGTACCACTCCTCTGTGCCAGGATCCAAATGACATTTGGGTCCATTGCTGAAGCTGGGGATGGGGGACCTTGTGAAGGGAGAGGGTTGCTGCCCCTGAGAGTAGCAGAGCTTTGTCTCATTTAACTCCCCTTCCAGAACGTGGAGTGGGGACACCAGGAGCACAGCGGCACTCAGCAGGGTCTGTGTCACCCCTGCAAAGCACCTGCGTGCCCCAGTCCCCTGGACAGAGCTGGGGGGCTGGCGGGAGGGAGGACCGGGGGATGTTTCCCCTGCACATGCAGGGCTTGGCATCTAATCATGGTCTCCAAACCGCAGAGGCTTGCCAGGTCCTTGGCGCCCAGCCAGCCTGCGAGTTGCCCCCACACTTAGGGGAGCGAAGCATGAGCAAAGCAGCAAGTGGCACCGGCTCCCCAGAAGAGCTCATGGCAGCCGGGCCCAAAGACGAAATGGAAACAGCGGAGGGAACAAAAATTGCAGCAGAGAGTGTGCAAAACACGTGGTAGTGGAGTTGGCCAGGCAGTGAAGGCCAGAGGCAGTCCAGACTCCTCTGGTGTTCTTGGGAGGCTCCCCCACCCTCCTCTGCCTCCACAGCCCCCCGAGAGTGACTCGCCTTTGTGACCAGGCATTGGCCGGGCCCAAAGACGAAATGGAAACAGCGGAGGGAACAAAAATTGCAGCAGAGAGTGTGCAAAACACGTGGTAGTGGAGTTGGCCAGGCAGTGAAGGCCAGAGGCAGTCCAGACTCCTCTGGTGTTCTTGGGAGGCTCCCCCACCCTCCTCTGCCTCCACAGCCCCCCGAGAGTGACTCGCCTTTGTGACCAGGCATTGGCAACCCTTTTTTGAGGCTCACTAGCCATCCCAGTGTGCTGAGCACAGGATGCAATCGAGCAGACTTCCAGAGCCCTTCCCAGCTCAACCACCTTTCCAGATGCTGAGCCGCACTGGGTGTCCCCACACCAACCCAGCTCCTCCTAGCAAGGTCCCCACTCCCCAGTCCGAGAGTGACTCGCCTTTGTGACCAGGCATTGGCAACCCTTTTTTGAGGCTCACTAGCCATCCCAGTGTGCTGAGCACAGGATGCAATCGAGCAGACTTCCAGAGCCCTTCCCAGCTCAACCACCTTTCCAGATGCTGAGCCGCACTGGGTGTCCCCACACCAACCCAGCTCCTCCTAGCAAGGTCCCCACTCCCCAGTGCTCAGCAAAACAGGAGGCAGAGAGCAGACGGGATCGGCTAGGGGTTAGAAACCTCAGAAACCAGGTCACCCTCCGTGTGCCAGTTGCACACACCTGTAGGTTGTGTTTTCTGGCTTTTCTGAGAATCTGGGTGATGGGCTTTAGAGAGCACCAGGCTGTGAATTGACTTGTGACTCGGTGGTGTAAAGTAAGCACCAAAAGAGTTGACACTCAGTAAAAACTGGCTGGAAATCTGTGACGCATCTGACATGGCAAACAACACCTAGGCTGTGCAAAGCGGTGGGTGCACCCCACGTGCTCTTACAGGAACTGGTGTGTGATCAGCCTTGCGGACAGTGAACAAGAAAAGGACCTGCTTTCCTATGGTGTCGGCTCTTTACGCAACAACATTTTGCTCTTCACAGGAGCAGAATAATGTCTTAGTTGGCTTTTCCGCTCTAATCTCCTCCAGTGAAGGGTGAGCCTGATATGGTCACTGCAGGTAGAATATGCCAATGGCCACCTGTGGTCTGCAAAGCCATCTGTGTAGGACCTTGTAAGAAAAGCGACCAGCAGACTGCATAGTTCATAGAGCTTTCATCACCATCAGATTTCAAAGCAATGAGCAAAGGTGGTTAACCACACCTGAAGAACAGGAGAAACCTGAACTGGAGCGGGTGAGTGTGCGCTGCACAAATCAAAGAGGCAGCAGGGGCATCATTTACAATTTGTCTCTTCGTGAGAGGTTCCTCAGCGCCTCACCCGTGGGAGGACAAAAATATTTCTACCGTGCAGCTAAGCACAGCGGCAGAGAGATGTTGTCACTCGGTGGGCACTGATCCCACTGAGATAAGGAGAGCGTGGGATGGCACTGGTTGGGGCAAACACCAGGCAAACGTGCAGCCCCATAAGCGGTGGCAGAAGCACGGGGGTGTAGCCTGAAACAAAATTTAGACCTCATACACCCAGAGTGGTCTGAGCTTCTTGCATCCCATTCGTGGCGATGGGCTGCGTGGCTGGGCTGAGCAAGCGTCCCTGGAGCAGTGATGTTCTGCAGAAGCTGAGAATGTGTCCCAGAGTGGATTTAGAGCTGCTGGGGGCTACTGCTCTTTGTATCTTGCAATCTCCCTCCTAGATGTTTAGTGCCTTGTATGGTAAGCCCAGCTGTGCTGCCTTTATAACCACATCCTGCAGGGTAAGCGCAGCAATGCGCAGCGTGAAACTTGCCGGGTGCTCATCTCCCCATGCCGAAACTCAAGGGTTAAACCACTCCCAGCCCCCACCACTGCTGCTGTTTCCTTGCTTCAGAGCTGGTGCTCTGCAGAGCAACAGAAATGTGGCTCACTCAGCCAGTGTGAGACCAGAAACGTTCCCAGGCATCACAGCATCTCTTGGGCCCTTCTCTTTAAGTTGCTACCTGCCGCATTAACTGGTGCTTTAGGTAACCACGGCTTTTAAAATCAGGCAGATTTAAAATCTGGGTGCATGACACAGCAGCTATTTCACTTGCCTCCAGACAGCAGCCCCAGACCCGCCCCCCAGCTCCTGTTGACCCCTAAAATGCTCCCAGGCCCCACTCTCCGAGGCACGGCAGTGTGTTTTCGTACGAGTAGTTGTCCTCCCCCATCCTGGCACAGCCTGCTCCCAAAGCCCTCGTAGGCTGATGCATGGGGAGTCAACACAGACCCGCAGAAACTCCCTGTCTCGGACTACTCCTGACCTGGGAGCTCCCCTTAACAAAAACTGGTTTTCTTTAACAGAGACAAACACACAGGGGAAATCTTCTCCAGTGCATACCTTGGGGTGCTGTCTCCCATTTTATTAATATATTACAATTTTTAAATGTATATAAAAAAGTTAAGCCGGACCTTTTCCAACAGCAAAGCCGCCTTTCTGGCAGACCTCAGGTTACAGAGCTGAAATGGGGAGAGAAAGGGCGGCAGCAAAGGACAAATCACAGGAGTCTCCAAGAGTGATTGCTCTGGGAAATGAAACTCCACCAGCAAATGTATTTGTACACCCCTTAGGGTACAGCACACTCAAAGAAATGTGTTTATCCTGGACTACACTATAGAATATCAGTTACAATGGAGTCTATGAAGCCTCTGGGATGAGGACAGCCTAGCAAAAGGGTTTGGTGTTCTCTTGGATTTTGTAGGTCCCAGGCTTTATCTCTGTGGCCCCACACATTCATTTCAGTTCCAGTGAACAAGCTGTTTCAGAGCAGAGTGCCCTGGGGCTGAGCCAAAGGGTCTCGGTTCCAATCTGGGAAACACAAAAATCCCTGTTGTGCTGTCTCAGACTGCAAAGCTGCTACTCATTGCTAAGTGGGTGTTCAAATCTTAGCTGAAATATCTAAGAAAGAGCCCCACTATTTAATAACAACGACGCTTTAGGCCAAGCACTTACATTTCCTAACAGGAGGCTTTCAGATGGCTTGGGAAGGCGCCAGATCTTCATGTGACCCTATGAGGACGTTCTGCCAAAGGTGCAAAACGTAAAGGTCGCTGGATACAAAGTGGAACTCAGCCCCACTCATTTCCTACAGAAGAAGGGCCGGGGGACAGATGGGCCAGTCTGCATGTACTGGTAGGAGTGCTTCTCATTTTTTTAAAAGGAAAACTTCTTTTTTGACTGAAGTATTTTCATTCAAAGCAGTGGCTTTTCTATGAAAATGTACCATTTTGCTTTTAACATGCTGACTGCCTCTGTTCCTTTTGTTACAATCCTGGGCAGCAAAACAAAGATAAGCTATGAACATGTGAGCAGAGCAAGGTCAGAGACCAGTCACTCTGAGAAGGACCCACTCTTTGCCCACTAGCTAGCCCAGGAGGCACAAGGAGCAAGTGGAGGCACCCAGGGCAGAAATTAAATGGGAGGGAAAACCAGAGCACGCAACTGGAGCAGAGAGAGAAGTGTGAGGGTTAAGGAGGCCAGGAACCACAAGTGAGGCTGCAGTCCTTTAATGAGAAGGAAAACTTCTCTTGCGAGCGTGCTCATTTGTTTCTTTTCCCTCACGTCAAACCAGAAGCTGAAGAAAGACATCAGGGTGCCTGTCCTGCGTAGCCGCCTGGCTTGCCCCAAAATGCCTGGGCCTCAGCAGGCCTGCAGAGAACCGGTACCAAGCTGGGTAGAAGCGCTTAGCCCCTCTGCTGCTGTTTTCCAGCCTGTCATCTGTGGGAATTTCAGAAGCCCCTGGATTCCAGGCCTGCATACACTTCCCGTTGGCCTTTCCGGATGGGCTGTGGGAACAGCAGAGATGTTAGTTCGGGAATCCTTATTAACACACCCTCAAACGACGCCAGAGTCTTGGTCCACGCAATACAAGGAGAAAACCACAACAGAGAGAACAGGTGTAGTGCCGCTCTGGTAGCGTGCTCCAGAAGCTGCAGTTCTGCTCCCGACTCTTTGTGTCAGCATCGGGAGAAGGGGCTGCACCCTCACCACCTTTTTTCTCTGCTCCCAGGAAAGCCTGGAGGTTGACTGGATGCTTCTTCAAAGGAGCAAAATGGATAAATGCTACAATTGACAGCTCTGGCTATCCCTCCCCAACCAGCAAAGAGAGATGGAAAAAACCACAGGTTCTGCATACCTCATAGTCCGGGTTTGGAACAGGGGGAGGACGCTGCATCTTCTGACCTGCAACAGAGGCAAAGAAAGGTCATCCTTGGTGATGATTCGTGTAACATGGCACGAGGGACTTTCATGGAGATGATCCCAGGGTAATGCATACCATGGCTCAACTTGCATGGCTTTTACTATGAGCTGAGAGCTTTTAAAGACCCAAGTGCTGCAGGCAGGAGGCCGCATAAGCACAGGCCCAGGCCACAGCTCCACAATATGGATAGCAGATATATACTCCTCTGCCTCAGCAAGCTGCACGGGCATGAGTGCATCATCACAGTTCTGCTGAACCCAGCACACAACATGTGCAGTAAGAACCCAACAGGGAATTTAGACTTGCTGAAAGAGTTCTATCATCTTTGTGGAGGCCAGTGGAAAAGTGGCCATGCCTGATCTGTGCAAAAGCCGGCTGGCGAGCATCCATGGTACTTCTCTGACCGGCAGCCTCCTGGTGCAAATGTCATCGTCAACATTTCTTGAACAAATCTGAACCAGCATCGTGAGGTAACCACCCTGCATCACTTTACCCTGGCATTTATAAGCCATAAGCCCCGCTGCTGGACCCACTGGGTTACCAAACCACAGCCTCAGAAGCCAGAAATTCAAATGTATAGTTTTAAAAACAGCACGATTTCTAATCACATCTTCTGTATGCGGGCCTCATTCTTGGTCTTGGATTGCCTGAGACAGCAGCTGAACGGGCCAGGGCCAGGGCCAGGCTGGGTTCGCAGCTACACTTGCAAGCTGAGCATCTGCCGTATGGAGTTTGCTTCAGCACAGACTCAATGCTGCTGCACAGCAGCTTGTGAAATGGTTTCCCGTGGGCAGGAAGCCTTTGACACAACACGGCAGCAGCACCCACCCCATACAAGAAGGCAGCCCGGAGCAACAGATGCGGCAAGCAGGAGCACTCTTTGGTGAGGTCTTGGTAGCTTGGGGGGAACAGAGGATGCTCTTGCCCCTGCGGATGCTCAGCAGGGGCAAGTGCTTAACTTAGTGCTTAGCGGACATCATGGGGAGCAGAGACGCCTGACGTGGCTCTTACCTCGTGGCCGACTGCCAGCACCAGCACTCGCTCTCCCTTTCCGGTCTTTGCTGAAGTAATAGACCAGAATCAGCACCCCTAAGGTGATGAGAAGATCGGCAGTGATGATCCCCGTCACTGCCAAGGCATCCAGCTCCTCGCAGTTTGTGCACACTGCCAGGAGGAGAGATGAAGGTGCTTAGAGATGGGCACTCTTCCTTTCCAGCAAGCACTCATCTGCTTAGTGCTAGCAGAAAAGATACAGTTCTGGATGGGAAGGAGAAAAGAGCAAGCAGAAAGGAAGGGGGACAGCACAGGCCATCCTGTCCACCCCGCCACTTCAGTCTGAAACAGACACAGACCAGGACCTGGTGTGTGCAACCTCCTCCGCTTCCCTCTGCTGTTTGCACGGCCTGAGCCAAAGGGTGCAAAACAGCTCCCAGCTCATTGCCCCCCTCTGCCTATGCTGGACTCTACCTCCTGACTGCAGAGCTGCTGCCCAAACTTCCAATGGCTCAGAGGCTGAAATCGCCCTGTTAGGGTGGAGGTAAACTCCCCCCGGTTGATGGGTCACAGAAACCAGGCTGTGTGCTCCAGATGGGAGGCTTCCACTTAGCAAGAGAAGAAATGCCTTTGGCCTTTGTGACAGACATTACTCTTGCTGTGTAGCACGGCAGAAGCTCTATAAAATAGATCACACACTGTATATGTGGGAACCATAGATATGCAACAAGCTTGAAGACAGCAGAAGGGAAACGCAGAGAGAGCAGGGAGCTTCCTTTTGCCAAAAATGTGCTCTTGGACTCTTTTACTGCCCACGCAGAGTGGGAAGGGCCTCAGCAGAATCGCACTCACCCAGCCCAGCAGCACTGAAAATCGGGTCTCAGCTCTTAGTATCTGTCACTGAAATGTGTAGACTTTATCTTTAGCCCATAGACTGAGTGCTTTTTCACTCACCTCTGGCATTCAGGTACAGTTCATACTTCTTACCACCTGACGAACAACTCACATTGGCAGGAGAGCTGTCGTGATTCTCTATAACATACTTCGTCTCACTGCTGGCTAGTTTTGTCCCAGTTAACTCCCAGGCTATGCTGCCTTCAGTTAATGGACATGTGATTGTCACCGTCGTTCCGGAAATCTCCACCAGGAATTCTTTATTGGAAGATGGGCCAACGAGAAAGGAAACCAGCATTACAAGCGGCTTCTGAGCAGGTTTCCCTGCCCGCCCTTGATCCCACCATGACAATTTGCTCTGCGAGATCTTTGATGTCGTGGTGTAATGTAAATTCCCTGTGTATGTGTCTTCTGCACGCATGTTCTCCTTGAGTTTTTCACACTGATTCTTTGCAACACCAAACAATATCAAAATACCATCACAGAGTATTAACTTCATGTCAGAGAGCCTGGCCACCTGCCATTCATCATTCTGTTTACCCATCAGCTTGCTGGTCTCTGCAAATTGCCAACCCTGCTTGGAGACCACTAACAGTAATTAGGGGCAATGCGTTACAGCTGATTTTTCTCATCAGTGATGACAGTAGCAACTAACAAACAGGAAACTTTTTCCTCCTAAAATACTGCTTGAACTCAAATATTTCTATCTGCCTTTTTGTCCTCAGTTGTGAGGGATCTGCAGTCTTTATATCGTGCTAAGTAGTTAAGAAAGCTGGTAAAATACACTTACCCCCCTGTGCTTCGGTATCGTCTGCAAAGGAGAGAATAATAAGTGTTAACAAATCAGCCCGCTATTACCTTACTGCTTGTTGCTGTGGGAAAATGCCCAGCCCTGCTTGGGGATCACTAGCAGTAATTAGGGAGAATTCCTGACAGCCAATTTTTCCAACCAGTGAGATCAGTAACAATTAATGAACAGGGAATTTTTCCGATCCTGCAATATTTGCAAAAGTCAAGTATTTCTATTTGACTTTTAGTCCTCACTTGTGAGGCATAGTTGGTCTTTTTATCATACTAAATAGTTAAGAATGCTGGTAAAATAGACTTACCCTGCTGAGCTGTGGTGCCAACTACAAAAGAAAGAATAATAAGTGTTAAGTAATTTAGCTACTGATACCACACACCTTTCCTACTTCAAGGGTATCCTTTCTGAACTCAGCTGCTTGAAAGAGATGTTTGCTCCCATATTTGTGCTAAAGGCATTAGAAGCATTCTGTTAGCTGAGACAGGATGTTGTTTTGAAATGAAGTCTTTTCCTTTGGCAGCCATTTTTAACACGGACTAACGCAGAATGGAAATCTGAATAATTTTCCGACACAGTTTAGAGAAAGGGTTATCGCAAGCTGTACACCCAACAATTTTGCTTTATTATCATGGCCCAAAGACTGCTGGAAAATCATGCCTGGTTTCTGCAGTAAGAACCACTGTCCTCCGCAAGAGTGTTCTCGCTGGAGGATTGGACCCTGATGCTTGATTTAATGCTGTAAAGCAGTTTATCTATGTGATTTTTCTCTCTTGGTAGGAAACAAGTAGCTCCACTGAAGTCTTTGGAGGTGGAGTATTACAGAAACAGTTTTTTAGGAGGTCTGAATCAGACTTGTGATTTACTTTACAGACATTTGTCGATAGAAAGTAACATAAGTAAATAAAGGAATGACCTGTATTCATGTGTTCAGCACTGTTGTCTCATCCCTGGTAATGGTTGCTTTACAGTAGGAGTTACTTGTAACAGAATCGTAGATTTGAAATTCCACAAGCATAGGACTTGGCTGGAGAGAAGGTGATCTGATGCTTTTTTCTTTATATAAGATGGATTTAAATTTGAAAAAAAGAACTGGCCATTGCTAAACTGAATGTTTTCAATCTTCTCAAAGAATAGCAGTTGGTGTTTGCTGTACGTTGGCAGAGTAGCTGTAGTCTTATTGTAGTATCTTTTAATTATCTTTCAAACTTATCTCTCATAGTTACCAGCTGCTTTATAGTCTTTACAGATGCTCTGCACTTCATCCTAAACCAGTTTTCTAAATGCTGGTCAGTTCAAACGTGGAAATGGCTACCACTCCCATGCTTTCACAGTGAATCTGAACTGAAGTTATTCACCCATGATCACAAAATGGTTTAAGAAAAGTGCATGAATACAGCATAAGCAAAAATTCACTAGGGACCTTAGGTTCTTTTCTCTAGGTTGGATTCCTATTTCTCTGTCCCTGCGACCTGCACCCTGAGGGGAACGCTCACTCTGGAGAGCGGCAGCTCCACAGGCACTGTACATGCCACTTGCAGAAGATGTGGGTGCAGGTACTTTACGAAACCAGTCGCACCTCCCTATCCTTTCTCCTCTGCAGCCCCCGGGCAGCCACCCTTCTGATCCCCATGGGCTTCTGACCGGCTGTACTCACCCACACACAGCAGCAGGCCCAGGAGAGGCAAGGACCACTCCAACCTCATCCTTGCGTTCCTCCTTCTCTTGCTCGCCTCTACCACATCAGATTGGCATCACTGAGGCTGGCTGCATGGGAAGAAAGAACACAGTGGCTTTTCAAGTTCTTGCTTACAAGAAAAAGGCCCAGATTTTTTCCCAGAACTGTGTACAGCGACGAGCTGAGCAGCGCTGGGGAGACTCACCGTTTCCAGCGAAACCTGCAAGCAGCCAAGAAAGACACAGAACACGTATGATAAAATAAGCCCACGTCAGGAAGTGCAGAGGCTCAAAACGTCTTCACGGAACGTCATTGACAGCAAGGGGTGGCTGCTCTGCACC